CGGTGGCCAATCGTACAGTGTGCCAATCCTGCGGTTTACCAAACGTATAGTATCCAATCCAGACATGTCCAATAAAATTCAATTGAGTGGTATCCAATTGTATCGTGGTCAAACGGGATACACCCGTGTTTTAGTCCTATCTTTTTTCTTTTTCGGTCTAGGCATAAAGCATGTTTAGGAGTATGTTTTTGGAGTATGTTTTCCAGCATAATATAAACAATCACACCACGGAAATAAAAAATATCAGTCAATAATATTGTATACAGTTCATTGGAAAAACGTCGATAAGATTCAGACATTAATTATGAGAGAAAAACATCATGTGAAAAAAATATGAAAGGTTAATAAAGGATACGATCTGTTCCGGGAAATAATGTCCTTCCAGTTAACAGTTCTGCCATGATACATCCAACTGACCAAATGTCAACTATAATATGCAATAAATATATTACATTGTTGTGTATAGAGAATGGACAACATAACATAATCTTAATTATTTCCATTTCTACTGAACCAATTCAAATTCAATTCAAATTCTTTTTTTTTTTTTTTTTTAATATTTTAGGAAGACCTACAAATTTTGACATTTTTTCCTTTTTTGTAAGTCTTCAATCATTTTAAATTTTTAAAATGGAAGCATATTTTTTCTAACTCAAAAGCTTCCTCTGATCATTCTGAATATTAGGGTAAAATTATCGAAATATTTTATTTTACATTTTATCCTAGAAATTTTTAGTAGAAAATATAAAATATCTTATAAATTATTCACTTTTAAATAACTTCTAAATTATTCACTTTTCTACACACACAATTTCAATTAAATACTTTTATACATGAACAGTACTTGTATACTTGTTTGCAAAACAAATTAAATACATTTTTGCCGATAAAGTTAGGAGTGCATAAAATGATTACAATTGCGAGTCATTCATGAATCTGAATGACAATATATGAAACATGCGACGTCATAACTACTTTAGAACTATAACTATAGAATACTTAGGAGAAACATAAATATTATATTCAGATATCAGATAATAATCAAACCTTTATTTTATTCTTACTCTTACATTAGCAGATAAAAATATAGAATCAATAATTACATCGTGTATTTAATTTAGCATCGTATGTTAATTTAGCTACTGCTATAATCAATTACCACGTAAGTTTGTAAGTAGTGACTTGCAATTGTGACCATTTGATGTGCTCCTAACTTCATCGAAAGAAATGTGTTTATATCATTCCGCAAACGAGTGTACACTCGGGATATATTTCGAATGTTAGTTCGACTTATTTTTTTTTAATGTTGACAGCCATTTAACTAAAACGAGAAGTATTCTAAATCCGTCATAACCTGCAAACATTATCATATATTATCATATATTATAGTATTGCTTGTAAAACTAAAGAAAAAAAAAAAAATTCCAAAAATGTTAAAATTGTTAAAGACCACAATAAGAAAAATTATAGTTTCTTACTAATAAAAGACATTTACATTCATTTTATTTCTGTTCCTGTATATTTTATTTCTGTTTCTGTATCTTTTATTGTTATTTGTATTTAAAAAAAAACAGGAACTTGTTAGTTACAAACTGCTGACTTTTGCAAGTTATGATTGATTTGTTAAACTCTGAGAATTCAAAGTCACTGCTGTCATGTATATGCAGTAATCGGATTTGAATGGAGCTGAAATAATAATATAGAATATAGAATTTGTGGAATTTGGAAAAATTTATTTTAAATTAAGAGAATACACACATTATTTAAAAAAATAATTTTTATATATTTATAATAAATTATACTGTGCAGTGATATTGATATTGGTACTTTTAATTCTGATAACTTCAATAATTGCAACTTTATTCAATAGAAAGTGTGAAAACTAGTAACCGAGTATACACTCAATTTTGCGAATGTCTTATCATTTAATAAATCGAGTTAATAAAAATTTTCGGTCAGCTATATTAAACTTAAGAAACGTAAAATATAATTGTAAGAAAGAGGATAGGGAACTTATGCATCTATTTAAAAAAAAATAATTATAACAATTTTCAAGAATGAATCATTATTTTTAAAAATAAATATTTCCAAAAAAATAACACTTTTAAGTTATAAACCTGGTTAAATTGTAAACTACTAACCTGTCTGATTATAATGCATCCAATTAAGCATGATTTCAGGTGCTCGATACCACCTAGTGGCAACATAGCCAGTCATCTCGTGTTCTGTGGGCCTGGCCAAGCCAAAGTCCAGTATTTTTAATTCACAATCCTCATTAACAGCTATATTAGATGGCTTCAAATCCTATGAAATGGAAGAAAAATTAAATTTGCTCTTTTTAATTTTTGTGTGAACACACACACACACACACACACACACACACACACACACACAAAACATATATTATTATATGTACCCTATGTATAATTCCAGCAGAATGAATATATTTCAAGCCACGAAGTATTTGATAGACAAGAAATTGAACATGATCATCAGAAAGTTTTTGTGTTCTCACAATATTATTCAAATCAGCTCCCATTAGATGTGTGACTAAGTATCTGTGAATATATATATAAATAATAAAACTTTATGCAAGAAGAAAGTATGTATCAGCGCTTACACATTTTGAAAATCCTCTAAAGATGAAGAAGGATGAAAAACATCTAACAGTCCTATTACCTGTAAGAAATTAATATAATTTGTTTTGATAAATAAAAAATATGAAGTACAAGTATTTATATGACTGTGTTTACTCACATTCTCATGATTCATATGTTTCAGCATACGAAGTTCCCTGTATGTGCGTTTTGCATGCACAGCTGATTGAAATGGCCTAGCTAATTTTTTAATTGCTACTTTTTGCCCAGTAGTTGTGTCGACAGCTGAACTAAAACATAAAAGATATATTCATTCCTGGAAGGGTAATTGTATTCATGTTTTGATCATGGTCATTTTGATTAAATAATTTACCAAGAATTATTTCTGCATAGTATCTGCTCAGTGCTTAGCACAAGTATGTGAAAATGCATCTTTATTCCTCATACAAAAATTATTAAGTATATAAAAGAAATCATCTGATGTTATGAAAATTGCTGCTTATTTTGCCAGCAAAAATATGCAATTAACCCAGCATTATTATATTAATAAAATATTTTGATCAAAATGATGGCATAATAAAGATATTTTTTAAAATAAGCATATTTTAAACAAGTTGTGCTGTTGCAATAATATCACAAAATATATATTAAAACATATATTAAATGTTTACATGTTATATTCAGCATTTTTCTCTCTACCTGGATATATAAAAATTACATAAATAAATTAATTTTTATAAACTTTAATATTATTATTTTATTTATTTATTACTATATATATATATATATATATATATATATATATATAATTATAACAATATATATAGTATTATCAATTTTATAATAACCTATAAATATTTATTTGTCTTAATTGTGTTTTCTATTTTCATTTTTTACTTATATATTCTTAAATTTAATAATATATATCTATACTTAATATACATCCATTTTTATTAACCCGATAGAACATTTAAAAATCTATCCAGACTTTTTAAACGTTATCATTCTTGAAAACATGTGTTTTGTTTTTTTTATTATAATTTCTTTAACTTTATTGAATAATTTAAATATTAATAGATTTATATGCTCTTTGATACTTTCTATATTAATTAAAAAAAACATTGAGTATTGAGTATAAAAGTTAGAAACAAATGAAAATGCATTTGATAAAATTTATGATATTTAGGGTTTATGTAACTTTTTAATGCTTGAAGTTCTAGGGTTATGCATATTAAGTATAGCAAAAACAAACTGATTTTATGCTTTTAACTGATTAAAGCAATATTAGTATGATATATTAATTTTAATATATATTTTCTAATATATGTTTTACTAATATATATTTATGTATTTTCTGTATCTGCTCTATCTCCTTTTGCCTGAATATTTATTTTATTTTAAATGTGTAAAAAAATAACTAAGGTCTATACTTAATATATTAAATTAATATTACAAACTTACATTTATATTTCTTAATCATTTTTTACATAACTTGTGAGATATATTAAACATTATTCCAATTACTTTATTGATTTCCACACAAATGCACATAAAACATGGGCATAATCTTTTGAATCACAATTCTGATAATAAAATAAATGTTTCTAATTGTAATCTAGTTTTCTTTTCTATAACCGAAAACTATGTGCTTGCAATGATAGATTTTTTGCTTCATGATACAAATATAGTCATAAATAACAAGATTATAATAGATTTATAGTTGTAGTAACATATTTCTGCCAATTTTTATAATAGCTTACATATTTGTTTGCTATTAGTTAATAAAAAAACATGAAAGTGAAAAGTTACTTGGCAAAACATTGGCAAGATTGGAGCTTTTTGGGTATTTGTAATAGGCAAAATTTTTAGTGTGTAAAATATACGAGTATCACAAATTTATATATTTTACATATGTATATTTACCTCTATGATTTTATCTACATTTGTATTATTAATATCACTTATTCTTTGTACTTATAACAGTATTTATTTCGAAATAGGGAATAAATAATACTTTAATAAACTATAGCGCATGATCTTCATTGAACAGAATATAAGATAGAAGAATGAGATGGTACTATTAATGTATTGCTAATGTTACTTCTGTCATGTCGCGTCACTTACCAAACTTGACCATAAGCACCCGAACCTACGGGTGTGAGCATTTGGTAACGTTCTGGTACCTCCCATTCTGTTCTGTTGATTTCTATCTTATAAAATTGTGACATGCTCTTTTATGCAAAGCAACAACAGTTTGTTCTAATTTTGATTCGCTGTATTCAGCAACTACAATAATAATTCTAAATGAGTTTTAATAACGTATTTTCGAGTTGCCACCTCACTAACTATATAATATTGCACCTCATCTCTAAATTAGCTGTCCACTATGGTGAGCCGCTGTTTACATACATACAGAGAGAAACCTAAAACGATCATCTCGTAAAGATTTCAGGGGATGCATTCCGACGCGCCCTCTGAGAACGTGTATGCAATCTACGTTCATCATGCACACTTTTCAGCAAGGATAAAGTCGTTTGGTTTGTATCCGTTCTATCAGAGAGAAATATGAGAGCGGCCACCGGCCTGATTTTAGCGGCAAGAGCTAGGCGCATTTTAGATGCACCATCTAAACAAAATGCGCCTAACTACGTCTGTCAGGCGCACTTTCGCAACTTCCATATAATGATAGTAAGTTAGAAAAGGACAGACGTCTAATCGCTCTGTTCTTATCTCACCACTGATGAGTGATCGCACGACGTAGCACATTAAGCTAGCGGTGATATTATCGCAAAGCTAGATTATCTCTCATCAGTCTCGTCTTTCACGCGCTGCGTTCTGTGTAATTTTGGAAGGAAAATTTGGAAAATGGATAATATGAAACAATAAATAAATATACAAAATTTATGTATACAACACGTTAAATATTTGATTTAACATGGGAGGATTTAACATGATTTAACAGATATATATATATATATATATATATATATATATATATATATATATATATTCCCATTTTAAATGATACAACCCAATATTTCGAAAACTAAAACCGGCAAACAAACATGTTTCAAACAAAAGTTATATGGATAGATGGTGGACATAAGAAGGTACTATTGGTTTGACCTTGCGTGGCTCCGCCAAGGTCAGGTCGAAGTCTCAACTTTGCTTTTTTAAATAGAAATATACATTTTTTTTATTATGGAATTTTATTCTACGTAAAGAAGCAAACAACTTTTGTTTGAAAACATTTTTTATACGACCTTTATTTTCTAAAGTATTTACGGAAATATCTACAAAATTATTGGTTTCAATAATTTTTTACTCGAATTCTATGAACTTTACAAAAAAATAGTAAGATATAAAAATTGTTTAATTTTTTCTCATAGAGCTTTGAGATTTTTTTTAGAATTTTTGATTAACTTTTTAGTATTGCATTTCCTTTCATTTTCTTGAAGTACTAAAAAGTTAATTAAAAATTCTGAAAAAATTTCAGAGCTCTATGAGAAGAAAATAGACAATTGTTATTTCTTGCTATTTTTCGGTAAAGTTAATTGAATTCGAGTAAAAAATTATTGAAACCAATAATTTTGTAGATATTTCCGTAAATAGCTTAGAAAATAAAGGTCGTATAAAAAATGTTTTCAAACAAAAGTTGTTTGCTTCTTTACGTAGAATAAAATTCCATAATAAAAAAATGTATATTTCTATTTAAAAAAGCAAAGTTGACCTTGACCTGACCTTGGCGGGGCCACGCAAGGTCAAACCAATGGTACCTTTTTATGTCCCCTATCGATCCATATAACTTTTGTCTGAAACATTTTTGTCTGCCGGTTTTAGTTTTCGAGATATTGGGTTATATCATTTAAAATGGGACACACAATTTATTTTGAATATTAATAAATATTTATTCCATACAGGCCCTCTTCCCCGCGACGCGTCTTCCTCTCCCTCCACTCCTGCCTCTTCCTCTACACTCATCTTTGTCCCTTTTTCTTTCTTCTTCTTCGCCTCTACCTCTTCCTCTGCCACTGCCTAGAATGACAGTGACAGTTGCTTGGATGAATATTATTTAATATTTCAGGCTATAACAGAAAATTAATACTGAAATGTTATATAAAGCGTTAGATTTAAGATTTTAACTTTCCGTTAATCGCAATATTTTTCACGCATGTATGGTCGCAATCATATATTTTGCATCTCCCAAATACATTAATTTCCCCGGGTGTATATCAGTTGGACACGGGGCAATTGGACACAGTCCAATCACAAGTCGCTGTTCCAAGGGACCCTACAAATGTCTCTAATCACACGGTGCTGTGATTGGCTGTGTCCAAATGCACCGTGTCCAAGTGCACCGCTTCCAATTTCCCCTGCTGCTTGAAACAATTTTCCCTTCATTAGTACTTGGCTAATGATCAACTACTAATAAAGTACATAAAAAAAAACAGTGAAGAACAAATTAACAAGTATTGGTATGGATAAAAGAACTTTAACTGTATTCATTATTCACAAAAAATTCCAATTGGACAAGTGGTGGTGAAGTTAGTGCTTTTTGAATCATATCGATATAATTTGTGTTTGCCGAGAAATAAATAAAAAAATATATACGGCATGTATAAGTTTGCCCCCGACGTCGAAACGTACGCGCACTTCCACACCTTACTTAATGTACTGATATTAATTGTATTATTATAAACCATCAATTCCAATAAGATAAATTGTGGAGAAGGTAGTGCTTTTTTAATCACATTGATGTCTTTTGTGATTGTCGAGAACAAAAAATGTAAGCGGCAGGGAAAGATTGTCAGGGATGCCGAAATATACGCGCGCTTTTAAGTCTTACTTCCCTTACAGAAATATCATACTAACAAGGGGAGAACCAGGTGACTCACCCTGGGATTTCGATCCCAATTTTTTTAATTATTCTGGAAATGAAAAAAAAAGATACGTGTCCCGGCGTTTGATAGAATATGCCTTAGTTTAGGAGTAATACATTTGTAAAAATTGGCCATATCCGAAGCGCACCGCGGCGCGCCATATGAGTCTTCCCGGTAACTGTACTTCCAACCAGTGCAGTTGGCTTCATGAGTTAGGTACTTGCTTCATAATTCGTAAGATCCAACTTCGCTCACGGAGGTGAGCAATAATTTTTTTTTTTAATGAGTGTTTTTATTTATTTTTATTTATTTTGATGATATTGATATAGTATGCAAATTTTTGAAATAGAAAATTTAATTTAATATCACATTCTAAACATTAATTTAAATTTAATTTTAAGAGAATTTTAATTCAAGTAATAATATTTGAAATAATAAATAAGTAATAATAATATTATATAAGTTATTTGTAATGGATAACATATAAAGGCAACGTATCTAAGTTTTCAAATTGTTTAAATTTAAAATTTAATTGGAAATAATATTAACAATATTTTAAATTTCTAGTTTTTAAAATAATTAATCGTAGAAGAAGAAGAATAAACAAACATCTGAAATGTGAATGTGAATATTTTTATTACAAAATTCAATTATTTAAGTATTGCGGATTTATTACAAAATTAAATTATTTTGATGCAAAATAATTACTTGGATGATAAACATAAAAAACATATAAATTTTCTACAGTTTGCACAATAAATAAATAAAGGAGTATCACATACACATTAATTTTTCCATAAGTTTATCACATAAACACATTTATGTTTCCGGGGGGAAACATATTTCGTTGACGTTTCGAAACACATTTCTTTCAGGAATTAATTTTGATGCAAACCAAGCGTACTTGATCATATCTGTAAAAGCTCCCGATGATAATTGTGAATGAATTAAAGAATGAATCTTTATTGCGTCTTCTCGTGAAGAGAGCTGCTGGTTTTGTTGTAAAACTTCAACAGAATTTTGGATTCTTCAGATGAAGTTTTTGACTTGTCGAAAAAAGTACACATCGCACGGTTGACAGTACGGCGTGCAATGAAGTGGAATAATTTCCACTGTTGAACTACAATTTCCGTCATCGTCAGTAAAAACACTATTAAAATGTGTTGGATCCGTTTTCCCTCCCCACGAGTCCAAGATGAGCAGGAATTCGTTGTCGTTGCAATATGGTTTGATAATGTTTACGACGAATTGGCTAAAGTGATCTTTTGTTAATTTACCTGATTTCGAGACGGTGACGTGTATATTGCCATAGCATTCCGATAACTTGTCGATTGTAGCCGAGACACGAGGACCAAACACCCCTTTCGGCTCTTGCATACACATGAACACTTTTGGTAGCAGTTTTCCTGAGGCAGTTATCGCATACTGTGCCGTATAACTGTGGATGATTTTGTTGAAATCTCCGAGAAAAACCTAAATGCTTTTTTCGCCTTTAGTAGATAGAATTCTTCGCACATCGACTCGATACTCACAGCCGGTTTGGTCGGTTTGGTCGGTGTTGATTACATAATCTCTGTAAAATTTTAAAATTTGCCTAGCTATGCGCTTTTGAAATTTTTCTGCTTCTTTTAATATATTTGGAATATCCAAAGCATTTTTCGATTTAATATATCGCGTGACTTTCCTTTGTCGAATCTGAAAGGTCTGTTTAAATCTAACTGCTCATGTGTGAGACGCTACAAAATTAAAGCTTTCAAATTGTACCGCTGCTTGGGAAGCCCATTGTTGCAGCATCCGCGTTGTCACTGGTTTTTTCTGTTCTCTGGCTTCGCGAAAATGATCAATGGTCCATTTGTTAATAGCCTCGTATTTTTCTTTAATGCCACCACCTTGCTCGATTTCTGCTCGCCATCGTGTCAAATCTCTTTTACGTTGAGGAGCACTTTCTCCACGTTTATAAATTTTTAGTATACTTCATTTGAGGTGTTCTCTTACCATATTCAGAATTTTTATCTTTGTTTTCAATGGTATGTAATCAGCAATCTTACGCTCCTTGCATTGCGGCTCATACTCTTTCTCGGATTCTGATTATGAAGCAATGGATGTACTAGACAAACAAGTGGAAACCGTTTTCTCCGGTGATGAATCAGTTCGCAGTTCTTCTTCTTCACGTTCTTGCAAAGTTTCTTCCTCTGGCAAAAAAAAGGACATAGTCGTCGTAGAAATAAAAATCTTTGAAAATCTCGATAATGGCTTCGGTCATTTTTTTCTCCAAAAGTTTTGCTTTTAAACTTGTCACAACTTCACTTGGAGATCCTTCAGCAATTTTTAAGGACTCTAACATTTCACAACAAACTTTTAAACCGTCTGTAATGTCTTGTTTAACATAAGATGCCATAAACGGAAGGTCCTCTTGACCAATATCAGAGTCGATCGTCGCTCCATTTGTTGATGGTTAAAAAATATTTTCTTTTTCTGCCATTGTTACAACTTTTCACGTCGAGAACTTTTTCAATCGAGAAA